ACCTGTAATTCAATGTGATAAAAGATTAAAATTTATTAGTTTTACTTGATGAATAAATAAAAACTACCACTCTATCGTTAAAACATTATTCTGTTTTTTTTGCTTGAATAAAGTATAAACTTATCTGAACGTTCTCTGCATATTATTTTGAATCTGACTTGGAACTTTAATAACCCTAATCGAGACTTAATTCAACAGACCAAATTGACTTTTAACTTCGACTTGAAATATTAAGACTCGGATTTGAATTATTTATTGTTAGGGAATGCCACCTACGACCAGATATTTGACTTTGATAAATCATCATATGAACTTAAAGTTATACTTGATCATTGTCTGCTTTTGGTCTTATTATTACCTTTAAGGTCACCACCCTCCTTTAAAAATTCTTATATTATCATCATTGTTCTTGAAATCATTCTATTGAATACTATTGTTAATGGCATCACTCGTCATGCATCACCCTCAGTATACTTTGTCGATATCACGTATTCGTAAAAGCATTCTATTGCTTCTTTTGTCTAAAACAAATATAAAAGACATACTTCAAATACCCAGTTATCCTTATCTCCACATATACTGTTGGAGTTAAATTGGCCTTTCATCTATATAATTTACTTATGCTCTTTCTACAATGGTTATACTACTCTACACAAATAAGAGAATATTACGCTTACCATAACCATTAAAATCAAATTTTTATCACAACAAAAATCAAAGTTTTATATATAGGGTAAGGTTAAAAGCTAAAACTATGTAACAATTATTCAGAAGAGTTAGATTGAACAGGCTGATTTATCTCTAATAGTTATGGAAAGATCTAAATATTTGCTTCTAAGAGGTAAGTTTTCAATTTTTATTTAATAAAAGTCTCTTCAGCTCAACAGTAACTTCTTTCTTTATTATTACAAGGTAAAGTCAAAGGGAATCTGCTTTTATTACTTTTAATAGCTTGCATTAGCGTGCTATTTAGAAATGGGCAAATTGCAGTTTCTCCAAAAATTTCGTGTGCGTGGGGGTTCATCAAATCTAGGTGTCATGGTGATTCTTATTTTGATTGGCCAACAGTTGTGATTAACAAAACCCTGGCCCGCATTATACATAATTCTGCTGGAATTTAATTTTTTAATACCAGAAACATAGTGAAACAAAGTGTATAGTTTATAGCAACTAACTGTGTACAAAATCTCAAACTCTATTAGACAGCATGATTATTGTATGTATATCTTTTTTGGCTATGCTTGCTTTGACTAAGAACTGCGATCGTGCTAAATAATTATTCAAAGTTGGTTAAATTTGGGAGTTGTCTAAAGTGGAGCAGATTCTTATAATATATATTTTATTGAATTAACTTTAGGGTTAGGTCATCTTATATTGGGGTTAGGTTAGATTTTAGGTAGTTATATATAAGCAAAATTGCCTTCTAGATATTTTTAATTAACCTACTCGAGGTAGGTTTAGACTGCCGTTTTTTGTATTTTTCAGGTTTTTATTTTTATTTCATGTTTTGCTTTGCCTAGCGATCATCAAAATTCTATAATTTGATTGGTCAGATATCACGTAATTCTGCCCTGCTTTAGACAATCTCTAGATATTCTTGATCTTACACTATAAAAAAATTTTTATTATAGTTTTCCGAAAATATTCCAGATTTTTATTTCAGAAAATTTTTGGAAAATTTTCTGATTTGTATGTTCCGAAAATGTTTCAGAAAATGAGCATTTTCTGGAACATTATTTACTGTCATATTTCAGAACTAATCTGATATTTTAAAAAATCTGATAATAATTGAATTGTAATGTATTTATTTTTTTAATAAATTGAATTATTTCATATTACATTTGTGCTATCTAATCATTCTAATCCTAACCCTAACTATTTCTCTAATACCAATGCAATATTATATAAAATGATAGTATTACAGAAAACCAGCAATTATGTTAATTATAATGACTCCAATCAGTGTTTAAAATTCAGATTGAAATCTATTTGCACAAATGCAACTGTATTATAGGTTTTAATTGCACAAACCAATTACTAGTTGCACATATGTGCATATAAAATTTATTTTTATATGCACATATTTATTATCTCTAAGTAATGCCAATGTATAAAATTACTATACCAAATATATCTGAAATTTTTGTTTAATTTTCAGAATATTTCAGGTATTTTCTCTAAATTTAAACTAAACCCTGCTTGTATTTTTACATTCATTTCTTTCAGAACTTTTTAAATTCTCATTATCTATCTCATATTTTATATTTAGACTAAATTTTTGTGCAATAAAATTTTATAAATTCTCTTGCACTTCATTTTATGTGCAAACTCCTAATTTAAAATTAATTGCACACTTGTGCATATACATTTAGAGCTTCTCTTGCACAAAACAAAAACTACCTGCACATGTGTATCTTGTGTATAGTAATTTTAAACACTGACTCCAATATAACACAGCCCAACTATTACGGTGACTCCAACATAACACAGTGCAAAAATATGAAACCCACTGGTAATTATCCAATAGCGATGACTTTAAAGTAACAAGGTGCAAAAAATATTAAATCTACACCAATGATTCTTCAACTATGATGATCTCAACATATGCCATAGATACACTATAGAAAAATCTATAGAAAAAATAATATTAGTAATCAGGAAAACAACAAAGAGAAATAGAATCAGAGAAAAGAAATGAAGGAAGAAATAAAATAAAAAGAAACAAAAAAAGCAACAAAAAAAAAAGAATAAAGGAGATGGAAAAAATAAATGAAAGAAAATGAAAAATATGAAGAAACAAAAGAAAAGGGAAGGAACAAAAGAAAAAGAGTAAAGGAAAAGGAAAGAGATAAAAGAAAAGGGAGGAAGAAAAATGAACGAGAGAAAAGAAATAAAAGAAAAAAAAAGAAAGAAAGAAACAAAAGATAAAGGGCGAAAGAAAAGAAAAGGAATAAAAGAAAAGGGACAAAAAAAAAGGAATGAGAGAAAAGAAAAGAAACGAAAGAAAAAGAAAGGAATGAAGGAAAAGAAAAGTAATGAAGAAAAAGAAAAGGAACGAAGGAAAAGAAAAGGGACAAAGGAAAAAAAGGGACAAAGGAAAAGAAAAGGAGCAAATAAAAGAAAAAGAATGAAAAAAGAAAACGAACGAAGGAGAAAAAAGAAACAAAGAAAAAGAAAAAAAACAAAAGAAAAGAAATGAAAGAAAAGAAATGAAGTAAAAGAAAAGGAGCAAAAAAAAGAAAAAAAAATGAAAAAAAGAAAAGGAACAAAAGAAAAGGAAAGGAACGAAGGAAAAAAAAGAAAAGGAACAAAGAAGAAAAAAAATGAAAAAATTTCTTATGTAATGATCCTGGTATGATCATACGTTACACAAGGGTATGTTATCGACCATAACTTCAATAACGCGAATAATCAAGTTCCAAACCGGAATATTTTCTGAACGCTCAAAATTTCATTTTTTTATAATTTTTTAAAAAAAAAACTTAGGAACATTTCCGGAGCAATATCAATATTGATACATTAATTTATATTATGCAAATTTCAGTTCGGAATATGATCGGGATGGGTTCGACTTGTTCGAAACAGAATCGGAATATATCTGTAAAAATTTTTTTATAGGGTCATGATCTCAGTTTTAACATCGAATGCCTTGAAAATTTGTCACGTGGAAATTATTTGGTAAGGATATATCTGAGAAATCAGAACAATTATGAAAATGTTACGTTTGTATTGCAAGATTATATTGGGTTTTATATTGAATAAAGATCTGGTACTGATACTAACGCTAACTTTTTTCAGTAATTACTGGTATTAGTGCCCGTCATCATATGACGGGCTAAATGTATAGAATAAACACTACAAACGAATGTTGCAAAGACCCGTTATATAATTGGGCAATCAGGCTATATATGTTATGCGTCATTTCTCCGCATAATTTTTCAATTTATTTAATTATTAATTGCCATATTTCATTTTTAAATTAGAAAACGGCATAGGCAATTTTGTAGTCAATATAATTTTAACAAAGTAATTATAACGATTTGATTAAACATACGCTTCACATATGTGTGTTCAACGAAGTATAATCAAATTTTATATACATATGCAAAATATTTTAAATATAATTGTTTTAAAAAATAAAACGCATCTATGTCATTTCGAGTATAGCCAATTTTTTGATAGTGGCTTAATTATAATTTGTAACAATTTTCTTAAAAGAAATACCAATTCTAATATATGTTGGACGATTTTGAATATTTTATATGAATATTTTAGGTTAAAAGTGTTTTAAATATTATGAACTACTGTAAGAGTCTTTAATAATACGAACTTGACATGTAGTTCATCTGCAATAAAGGTCCAAACTTTTTTGATATAATTAGATGCTCATCATAGACATCTCTGTTCTTCAAACTCTGCTTATTTTTCATTGATGATAGAAAATTGTAACTTGTAAATCCATAAGTACTTCGAAGAAAAAAAGTATATGACAGTAAAAGAACTATTTGTATTATGTCATTGCAAATACGTATTCATTTAATATGCGATTAATCAGTTTTTATTATGCAAGTCTTATCAACATTAAGAACTGACCCGAGTCATTTTCAATCTGTGGAAATTGAAAAATGACATGCGGCGATTGATAACACATAACACATGTTTATACATATGAAATTGTTAGATCTGCATTACGGCTGTTTCTATAAATTCCGAGACACTTAAAAAATAACCGAAATGATAAGTTTTGACATCAGCCAAAGTCAGTAACTTATTAATTCTGACTCAATAACTTATCGATTCTGTTACTGGAAAATATGAAAGCAACTGAAACACCGGCTTTGATGACAGAAATAAAATTAGTTTTTGCAAGTTTTGGATGAATTTCGGCAAGGTGTTTTACAGATCAGGAGCAGATCAGTATCCGTACGATACTGATCCGGTATGTATATTACCGTTAGAATTAGGAATTATAGCTGATCAGTATAGTATGGTATTTAATTTTGGTCTGTAATATACTGATCTGGTCACCCATGCCATACTTAATATCATTTCGGCACGAGATACATTGATCGTGAAAAATTCATTCATTACGCGCACGAATATGCAATGTTCGATTCTGTGCAACAATCCAATTTTTTTAATAGGGATGTTATGCAGTCTATTCTAAACTGATAAACCACAGTTAGTGGCAGGACTATTAGCATCCCTAAAGTTTAATTTGCTCTGATCTATGACAACGATTAAACCGGTCATTAGTATTTTATTCTAACCTTGGTTCAGTCTCATTTTCAAAACAATTCTTAGTTATATACAGTTATATCTCTCTAAACTAAAGCTGATTAACCGAATACTTAATAAACTTTGTGGGAGCAAAACACAAAGCTTTAAAACATTTATAAATTTTATTAGTAAATCGGTTTATAGACATAGTGAAAATTTTTACGGAGGATTCAGTATAAGCAGAGTTGACTGTATTTAAACTTCAATCATTTATTGTTTAGTAGAACACTTAAACCATAAAGCATTGAGTGGTCAATATCTAATGGAATTAAAAATATGTCGAATCACATTTATTTTTGTATATGACAGATTTTTTATCAAAAAATTAGGTCATAACTTTTATATCAAATAATTAGTAAATTATTTTACTGAAAATTCAATTTTAACAATTTAACAGTGAATGGAGTCGTAACTTTAATAGAAGGTTCACGATTTCATAGAGGATAGATTTGTAATTTCAACAGCAGGCGATCCATAATTTAAATAGTACGTAGATTTGTGATCTATTGCGGTTTGCAGCATATTAAAGTTGTAGATTATGCCAATATTATAATCACCTAATTATTGCCTGATTAATGATTGTGAACATAAATATGAAGCGAAAAATTATGAAAAATACTATATTTTTGGTTCAGAAATTCACTTCACAATTGCGTTCACATGTGGAACTTGCTTTGCAATTATTAGAACGAGTCTGCAAAATCTGCTATATTGCATAAATCTCTGGCTCGTTCAACTACCTTTATGTGTATATGTAAAACATAGCTTTTCTATTGAATATTGTTACACTGACTGCGTGCAGATCATCATGGTGCATCAAGTTTGCTTAGTCATATGGGTCTCGCTACGCTTCGGACAATAAAATATATCATTTAAATCGGAACACTAAATGCAACGGTATACAATGAACTTTGGAAAGTATATAATTATATTTGAAACTGGTGAACAGGGACACGGAATTTATGCGATAAGAATTCGTAAATTATGCGTGCGGTATATATGAAATATTCAATTTACTGATAATTAAAAATTAAAAGTGCGATTTAATAATGTTTACTAAGCATTTTTATCTCGTAAAAAAAAAATCTAACAATTTTTTTATACAGCTCACACATGTAGTTTTCTAATCTTTTCTTACCTTTCCCAGTTCACTATTAAACAATCTGCTTTCCGAACCTAACCGTAAAATAAGTAATTCTTTTTACTGATTGCGAAAAAATTTACACCAATTACTC